TATTATTTGAAGGTATATATATCTAAGTATCAAACTGTCAACATGGTTTCATTGATAGTGCGTAGTTGTATAACAGGAAAAAAAGCAAATTCTAAACATTTTGACATGAAAGTTGGAAAGTATTTAAAGGAGCATCACTTCTTCTAGTGAATAAATTATATATAACTGTTCAAATTAATATGAAATATTTCTTTTATTATTCTTTATTTAGAATAATATAACAATAGGTAAATAATACAAATAACGGACAAAAACATATAAAGACATGAGRTAGGAGCAAACTCATTAGTAGCAGTTATACTTTTTTAGATATATATCAAGAAATTTACTAAAAACAAACCTTTCATAAAAAAAAAGAAAAACATTAAGTTTTCATCCGACCAAGGTTAATCTTAAATTAATCTTAATTAATGCATTTTTATCAAAGTCACCCTTCATTTTKTATTCCTTTAGTTTGCGTRTAAAAACCTGTTTGACAAAATATTTTATTTAACGAATCTAGGCTACTTAAATTACTGGATTGTAGTAATTTTTTACAAAACARAAAATAACATTTAATTTCTGAGGTTGTATCGAATTAAAAAAGTTGTTTTGCCATATTATTTTTAATATTTTTAATCTTAACTATACAGAACGTATTATTGAGCTTAAGTAAATAAAAATAAATGATAATAGAGGAGAATCTGGGAATACYAGTTTATTGTACCTAAGTTATTTTAGTTATTAAAAAATTCAATTTAGAAAGTCATACCTAATAATTTTTTTTTTTAATTTAAATATATTTTGTATTTTAAGTTATCTACGTATTTTGATAGGTAACAAAATTATGAACATAATATATAAGAGTATTAGGGCCATCTACATATCGATATCTTTTAAACTAGGCTAAGCTTTTAACTTAGATTATAATATTATGTATAGGTATCTTAAGCCATCACAGTAATCATCTAAGATATTATATATTGAATAAAAATATAAAATTATTGATATAATATGTCGTTAATATTTATACATCAATAATTATATACAATMACGTTGTATTTATCTATATCTAAACAGAAATAATGAATTTTTCTTAATAAACAAGCTTATAAAATCAATTAATTTTCCATAAATCTAAGTAGAATATATACGATATTAAAACATATTATATATTTAATATCCTACAAAATAACATTTATTATGTGATTATTTTTAGTGTTTTCATTAATGTTATTAATATTTCCAAACATTTGAAAACATATTTCATCAGTTTAATCATTAATTATAAATACTATGTTTAGTATTTATAATCAATGGCTTGGCTTTACTCTTAAATAATATTCGAAAACTTAATCTCAATAMTATTAGCTTTATTCCTTATTACTTGCGCACTTTTTGACTTTAATGATCCGCTATTAGAGATAAAACAGTCACAGTKTTGCAAAGCAAAAAAATATAAGAACAAAACATCAATTAAAATGTTTTAGTTAAAAATGTCCATTCGAGAAATGTCTTTATGGAAACGTTCTAATAACATCATCAATCACAGGTTAGGCCATCGTCTCAMGAGATTTGCCTGGAATATTATGCTGCTGATGTGACGACGGCAATGCGGCGATGACGGCGACCACCAGCGTCACCTGAGTGGCCGGCCGGTTATGCTCGGGTCGGCGGCGTTCCCGGATGTCGTTTAAATGGACAGCGTCAACGTCACGGCCGCGGTGTACGAGCACAACGAGACAGTGGTGTCGTGGCCAAAGAACGCAACGACCGCCGCCGGGCCTTCATCGACGTACACGGCGTTGGAAGCGTTCACCATCGGCTCCGTGCTGTTCCTGGTCATCGTGGTGACGATCGTCGGCAACGTGCTCGTCTGCATCGCCGTGTGTCTGGTCCGCAAGCTTCGGCGCCCTTGTAACTACCTGCTCGTATCTCTGGCCGTCTCCGACCTGTGCGTGGCCCTGCTCGTCATGCCCATGGCCCTGCTCTACCTGGTTCTTGGAAAATGGCCGTTTGGCACGTTCATGTGCGACCTCTGGGTACGTGTGACGTTTGTTAAAATAGTATTTGTATTGTAAATCGTCTATAGTCTATACCAACGAGGGTATTGGACAGCCGTTTTTTTCACTCTAAATATCGTGTCATTGTATCGTTGAATATTTATGCGTTTTGAAAAAATATATATACATTTAAGCTTTCTCACTTTTTGAGCGATAAAATTCATTATATTTTATTATTTATTTTTAGGCTGAACATATTTTTTTGATTTTTGTGAATTTTGATCTATAATAACCGAAAATTCCAAACGCGTAGCCAATATTTAGTGATAAGCATTTAAACAAGGGAATGCCCAAAAACTAAACGCCATTAAGGCGTTAATGAATAGAGCGCTGTTTCTTGGTGATATTATTTTAATAGATACTTAAAAATAAATTAAATTTATCATACATCGTTTTCTGACAGATATAAAGTTGATTTTTGAGTAGGTGATTAAACAACAAACAAAATAATAATATAATTATCAGAAATAAGGTAAATATTAATTATAAGCTGCATTTTTTAAAATTGTAAGAACAATTAATAGATGGTTACTCATAAAACAGTACATACACAATGGTTCTATTATGATGCCTTCTCACCATAATGCATTCAATTTACGAATAAAACGGTATTAAAGTAAACATTATGTCACTTAAATAGTATGTTATTGACGCTTATTATTCATATATTCTTAACAGTTTGAATATATTCGAATAAACACATTTTTATTAGATATAATTTTAAAACTAATTTGAACAAGTCGACCGTTTATCGCTATATATTATGCAAACAGTTCTGCGATACACGCATTATAAATAATATAATATAACTAATAACTAGCTACACAATATACAAAGTAAAATAAAATATCTGATATTTTTATTTTATAAATTAACAATAGAAAGTTTGGAAATCTGAATAATAAAATAAATATAAATAACAAAAGTTGCCGTTCAAGGATACCTTTTTATCATGATTTTAATGCTTCCTAAAAAAAATTTAAAATACAGTTAAATGAAAAATCAACTCAATTCGAACATAAATTGAACATAAATTGAATGAAAAATCAATTATTTTAATGTATAGATATAGATATAATAACAATCCCAACATTTTTATAATTTATTAAATCTTGATTAACATAGTAATCGCATTATGTACGACATTGCGATCGACTCATTCCTACAAATACATGCTAATACTAGTAAATGTCGTAGCAATGTTTTCACGAAACAAAATTAAATTTAAGTCATATGACAATTTAATAATACTTGCCTCTAAATTGTACAAAATCATATTTAATTGACTTTAAATACCTAAAATTATGTAGAATCATATTATGCAAATACTCTACCAAATAATAATGATAATAATAAAATAAAATAAAAAAGTTAAGTCTTGTAAAATAAAGTCATGTTTATATATTTTCTCACATTAGTGCGTCTACTTTTGAGTTGTTGTTTAAATATTTATAAGCTAGGTATTGATCTAAATTAACTAGGAGTGGAATAGTGCAGGTGCCCTCTACTCAACTCATATAAGCTTTAAATACTTAACTATAGCGAAACACTCTTTCAATATTTGATTTCTGTATAAAGTATTCTAAAATTGTTTTCGCATTGGAATATGAAATTAAAAATTTACGCTGTCATTAAAAAAGTAAAACTTAAATAATGATGAAGTTAAAAATTGTAAAAATATAATATGTTTTCCATAGATGCTGTTTTGCAATAATTAAATATTAAATAAACAAAATAAAATATATAACGACATAGGCCATATGACATCGGAACGAGTCTTGGTCTAAATTCAAGGAACGAAATAAGCACCATAGATTTTTTCAAAGCAACACAAATTCTCCAATTGCTACCTACCCATAAGATTTTAAAACTAACAAATGAAAACAATTATATTTTGCGGTCTTGCAGGTGTCATTCGACGTACTGTCTTGCACCGCATCCATATTGAACCTGTGCATGATCAGCGTGGATCGGTATTACGCCATTACCAAGCCCCTCGAGTATGGCGTGAAGCGGACGCCTCGCCGGATGCTGATATGCGTGTCACTGGTTTGGCTGGGCGCGGCGTGCATTAGCCTGCCGCCGGTGCTCATACTGGGAAATGAGCATTCGACGGTGGACGGTGTACCACACTGCACCGTGTGCCAGAACTTTGGTTACCAGATATATGCGACGCTAGGGTCATTCTACATACCGCTGACAGTCATGATCACGGTGTACTACAAGATCTTCCGGGCCGCCCGCAAGATCGTGTTGGAGGAACGGAGGGCGCAGAGCCACCTGGAGAACAGCCACTGTTACCTGGAGATCAGCGTCAAAAATGGCGTCGGCCCGGTCGAGTCGAAAATCGCCGCCACTGCGCCGGAACGCAGCCAACACAGTCACCGGGCCAGCAGCAGTGCCAGCACCGTGACCACGGTAAGTGTTTGCACATTATATACCATAATATTATTATTATTTGTTGTTGTTGATGTTACATTGCATCATGATCAGATGACTCGAGTGTTTTGCGTCAGGCTATATCACAGTCCGTGGCCAGGAATATTACAGGAACATCRTTTTCATTTTTCCATCAGTAATATTTACTTAAGTACCTATTGGCTATAGTATTATAAAGTCCATAACGGTTTGCGTAACGTTATGCACAGACCTCTTTATGCTGATGATTATTCTGTTATAAATCGTCATATTCCATGATTAGTAACAGCTGTAAATACAAATACAATGCGACAATAGTCATTATTATTTAACCTTAACGTTTGATTTTTTTGTGTAGTGTTTTTATTATCTTTTACTAATTTACATTTTTAACAATTTTATTTTTAAAACATAATATTATAAATATTGAGGAATATATTTTAATACCATTTGAAGTATTAAATTTCACAAAGAAAATAAAAAGCTACCTATTATTACACGAGGCTTATGTAATTATGATTTTATGCGTCTCGACCATCATGATTTGTTTGGTACAATGTTCTACCCCCTTTATCTTTACCAGTCAATTACAAAAGTATATAACAGAACAAGTACCTACTCTTTGTATTACACTTCACATATGTACTCGCATTCAAATTGTAACTAATTATTACATACTCCTTGTAGTTCTCGAATCGTAGAAAAAGCTTTTGGTAGGTACACAGCTTTACTTTTAGCTATTGCTATTAACCTTACATATATGTGTTCAACATTTTATTTCAAATATACACTACAAAGTATTTAAAACATTTAATATAAGCACTACTATACTTACTGCATAAAATAGGTTTAACCAGTCAATTACTTAAACACAAAATAGATGGTTTTCTATGTAGGTACATTTAACACTAAAGGTAAGTACTAAAGTACTACTTAATATGCACAGAATTGTACTTTTTTTTACAATCTTTCAGTTTAAAAAAAAAATTTTTTTTTTTAAACCGGAGAACTTGAGACATCATTGAATAAATCAGCGTAATGGATATTTTAAATTTAATTGTGCATATAATTGCATAGGAAAATGATTTTGAGAGGAGATTGTGAAAGGGAATTAACCTAACAGTGGATGGGATATTTCGAGATTAGGTTATAATTTAAGTTGATGGGCTCAACCAAAAAAATAGTCTTGAGCCCCAATATGTCTAAGTTGGGTTTTAGCTAATATTGCTATATCATTATAACTTTGGATGGTTAAACGATTTAACCAGCATATAAGTTGTTATATGTTTACCACTAAACTAATATTAAATTAAATTGTTCGTTTAGAAATATTATTAAAAGTTTCAATGCATAGTAGAAATAGTGAAAACCGTAGTTATCATATATTATGTTATATTGTATATATTTAAGTATATAAATATATTTCAGTACCTACCTACCTACTGTAAAATAGATTAATAGCCAGATTATTCTATTACGACGATCATATTACAATATCATCTTTCATAATTATTTATATCTTTTAGGAAAATCATTTTGATTAAATCATTTCTAATACCAATATTTTAAATATTTAAAAACTTTGAACTTGACTTTCCGCCTGTAAATTATATTCCTAAATATTAACTAACGTACTATATATTTTTTGTATACATATCTTTAATAAAGGTAAAATATGTATTTATACTATTTTCATACACATTATTATCACAGATGACTGCAATTCAAAATAATCTTTATTAAACGAAAAACATTCAGGTCTTTTCCACTGAGATGACTATGAATGTACCTATTATAATATAAACGATGTTTTTCAATCGTGTGTTTACACAACAGCAATATTTTCTCGGCATTTCTGAGATATAAACACAAATAAGTATATATTTTTGTCCTCTTTCAAATAATAAACATATAGGTGACAGCGGGGGTATCCTTTGTAAACTTACTGCATGGGTGTTCTAACATATAAAAAATTACAAGAGTTGATATATTTTTTCTTCTTATTCTCATTATCCTTAACTGCAGACTGCAGTATGGTTACACTATATTTTACACACACTCACGAACACACAACGCTCAAACTTACATGCACGCACATCAATATATACATATTTTATAGTAAAAAACAAAAATACCTAACCGTCTAGTCTATCTATTTCAGATTCTGAGCGGAGCGAATGTATTGATTTTACCATGATATGTGTGTGTCCGTCATCACGTTTTGAGGAAATAAAAACGCTTCGATTTTTGACTTCAATAAGTACTTTGTTAGATCACAAAGTGAATCTAGTTGGTACTTAGGCTGGTCAAAAGTAAAAAATGTTCAATATTTTTCTAAATAATCGGGATAAACAAACTAAAAAAAAAAAAAAACGGGAATTCTTACGCACAATCAATTTTCGACAATATCAATTTTGGTTTTTGATATAACTTTTAAAAAAACGACCATAAATACATGAAATTTTCACCAAATGTTTATATAAGTATTTTCTAATCACCATTCAATTTCTACTTAATTTGAACTATTTATAGGCATATGAAATTTTCGATCATTATTAGTTTTTTTTTAAATTAATATTGATAAAAATTTATTTATTGGGTAAGAATATTTGAAAATTTAATACAAGGCTCCTAACATATTGTTACAATAGCAGTTGAAAAATAAAAGAAATACATAGTCACAATTTTTTTTTATAAGCATCTAAAGTTAAAATTTTGATTAAATACGTAAAAGTTATGGCAATGTTCAAATTATCTTAGATAGAAATTCATAAAAGTTTTTCTTTTAAAATCTAAGGTTTGAAAAGTGATTACCAAAATAAAATAAAAATAAAAACAGACAAAGTAACTAATTATTATAATAAAAAAAAAAAAAATGTCCACCAGAAATCAAATTAAATTTTTTTGAGCGTTTGAAATTAATTAAACGACAAAAAAAAATGTCCACCAGAATGTCAAATATTTTAATAAGTATGGATAATAACTAATAAGTAATGATAATCTATAATATATCTTAGACCAGATAATCCGTTTTTCGGATACAATGATATAATATCATTGGATTAAAATTTAATTCCATCCATTACARTAAYYCACTTGTAAYCTACTGTACAGCAGATCGACATCCATGACTTACCCGATTTTTTTCTCTTATATGTTACAATGTATTCAGTGGCGCCGAACCACATTTTAAGAAGATTGGAATGTAAAAAGTTATATGGACCACCACCCCCGTATACAAAACCGACTCGTGGGGGGCTTCCCCCCACACCCCCCACACAATACTCTTAAATATACCATACAGAGTTTGAGATTAATATTTTTTTTGAACTCCTATTACTCCTCTTATTTTTTACTCAATAAATTTTCACACCCCGTATTCCATACCATACCGGCAAACTACGCTTTAATACAGCCATCCAATTCAATGTATAAAGCGTTTGAAAAATATCAAGTACTCTTAGTTATAAGTTAACTAGGTACACAAAATACATTTTTGTTGATTTTAGACCATGTCCTGTTTTATAGTAATATAAATATACTAATAAATCACTGAATAATAGTATGCAAACACAATAAATATATGTAATCAAATGCTATTATTGCTAATTATTATATATTATAGGTTTTAATTAATTAAAGAAAAACAAATAATGTTAATAATCATAATGATAGTCAATAGATAACATATTATATTTTATTGCCTATTATTAAATCGTAAAATTAAATTAACAGTTTTGTTAAGACTGATCTGTATGATGCCATTTCGTTTATAATGTTGTCTGGATCAACAGGAACATCCTTTTTACACGATATTATCGTCAATCTTTCAAGCCTATCTTCGCACATACTACTTTGAAGACGTGTTTTGATCAGCTTTAATTTTGAAAACGCTCGCTCTGCAGGCGAAGCACTTGATATTAGTAGTGTTAGAGCTATGCTAAAAGTTATGTGTAGTGCAGGAAATACATAATTTAATCCTGTATTCCTGTCTTCAGCATTTATTGTATAATGAGTATACAGTTCCTTAATTTTCACCTTAAAAATTATCATCGTCACTATCTTGTTCATTTTCTGTATCAGAATAGAGTACATCTGTAATGTCCTCATTTTGTGTGTGTAATTTTTTTGGTAGGGTTACAGATTTTTCTAATTCCATATAAACACTTGCAAATTGGATATATTCTCTTCTTAAATCTGCTACAGTTATACATTTTCCATATACTTGTTTGAAACCATTAAATGCATCAGCAAGAATTTTTATAATCTTTATAATTAAATATATAAGGATGGATCATTTATAATTTATATTATTATGAATTAAACCTAATCAGTAATCAACCTCATCCTTGAAATGTCTAGACACCCACCATGGGACCTCCACCACTCACCCATTAAAAGAATGGTGGCGACTGCCACCCTTGACTTATGGTTTCGGCGCCACTGAATGTATTGACTAGCAGCAGTGTTAACAGGATTGAAAACAAACATAAGAAAACCAAAAACGATTCGTTGCCGCCGCTGCCTTTACAACTAACACTGCATTCGAGATCAAGTTTTTATTCTTTCGATCGAATCGACGAATTAATATACACAGAATACGATCAAATAGGTATTCGCGAGAAGAAATAATATCAAATTTTACCAATATATATTTTTATTTTGTTCAATTATCGATCTGGGGGCAAAGAATATAAGTACGAGAAGTCGTAGTGACGTTGTTGTTGTTGATGTGGTTGTGGTCGCGATTACGGTCGTGGTTGTGGTTGTTATTGTTGCACGCGAAGAGTCTCAATGAATACAACTATTGACAGCCCTTAAAATTGATGAATGTTTCTTATGGCGAAAATCCCTCACCCCCGATGACCCATCGTCACTCCAACGAATCGCCCGTACACAAGGTTTGTATTCCGCCTTACCGCTGTTAAAACATCGGCGTGTACCATGGTGGCATAAAAGTTTTCCAACCCACTATATGGTTTTTGTGTGCCAAATAAGCT